TCTATCTATCTATCTATCTATCTAAAGAAGTTAGGAATTTTTGTCTGTTTTATTAGTAGTTGTATTCCCTCATTCGTGAAATAGTGCATGACCCATCTGAGACAAGTACTGACTGAATTTTTACTTTTTAAATCAAAATCTACTTCTAGTTGTAGATTTTTCAGGATGCTTAGATGACTGTTTATGTTGTGAATTAGGAATTCCAGAGTTCTTCCAAGTTTTTCTTTAATGAAATTTATAGTCCTTGGTTTTAGTCCTAGGCCCATGATCCACTTTTAGTTAGTTTTTGTATATGGAGTGAGGTGTGGGTCTTGCTTGAGTTTTCTACAGATAGTTTTCCAATTTTGCCAGCACCATTTGTTAAAAAGGCTATCATTTCCCCACTTAACTGATTTCATTTCCTCACAAAAATGAGTTGACCATAAGTAGATGGGCTGATTTCTGGATACTCAATTCTATTCCATTGATCTATGTGTTTGTCATTGTACCAGTACCACACTGTCTTGACCACTACAGCAGTGTAGTAGGATTTGAAATCAGGGAGTAAGATGCCTTCTACTTTGTTTCTTTTTTTAAGGAGTGCTTTGCTTATTTGGGGCATCTTTCCATTCCATATGAATTTGAAGATTGCCTTTTCCATCTCGTTGAAGAATGGAATTGGTATTTGTATTGGGATTGCATTGAACGTGTATATTGCCTTTGGTAGTATTGTCATTTTCACAATATTGAGTCTTTCTATCCATGATCAAAGGATATTCTTCCACTTCTCCGGGTCTCTCTTTGTTTCTTGTAGTAATGTTTTGTAATTTTCTTTGAATAGTTCCTTTGTGCTTCTGGTTAGTTTTACTCCTAAGTATTTAATCTTGTGATTAACTATTGTGAAGATTATCAGATTTTTTTAGTTCCAGTTCTGTATTCGCTTTTCACTGTAGAGAAATCCAGTTGATTTTTGTATGTTGATCTTATATCCTGCCTCTCTGCTGAATTGGTCAACTATGTCCAGTAGTTTTCTTGCTGAGTCTTAGGGTTTTCTAAGTATACTATCACATCATGTGCATAGAGAGATAGTTTTACCTCCTCTTTGCCAATTTGGATACCTCTTATTTCCTTCTCTTAACTTATTGCTATTACTAAGAATTCCAATACAATATTGAATAGGAGAGGTGATAATGGGCATAGATGAATGGGACCTTCTAAGAATCAAATCCCTATGCACATCCCAAAATTTCTCCAGCAGGGTAAAATGGGAAGAAGACACAGACTGGGAAAAATATTTGGTAATGTCATGTCAGACAAGGGACTTATATCTAGAATTTATAAAATACTCAAGCACCACAACAAGATAAAGATAAATAACCCAATAACCCAGTTGAAAATGGGCACAGGATATGAAAACACACTTCACCAAAGAAGACATTCAGATGGCCAACAAATACATGAATAAATATTCAAAATCCCTAGCTCTAAGAGAGATGTAAATCAAAACAACTATGAGATATCATCTTACCCCAGTCAGAATAACAAAATATATTAGAACAGCAAACATCAAATGCTGGCAAGGATGCAGAGAAACTGGAACTCTTATTCACTGTTGGTGGGAGTGTAAAATGGTGCAACCACTGTGGAAGGCTGTATGGTACTTTCCCAAAAAGTTGCAAATAGAGATACCATTTGACCCAGCAATTCCACTACTGGGAATATACCCTAAA